ACTATGTAAAGACATGTCCAACATGTCAGCAGGTCAAAGCTCTGACTAAGGCTAGTGGGGGCTTGTTACAAAGCATCCCAATTCCAGATTGGCTGTGGAAATGTCTTACGATGGAATTCATCACGGAACTCCCCCCAAGCGAGGGTTTGATGCGATATTCGTGGTGGTGGACCAATTTTCGAAGATGGCATATTTCATACCCACCACAACGGAAGTGGATGTAGAAGGTGTGGCAAAGCTGTTTTTCAAACAAGTGGTTCAAGTGCGGGGAAGGCTAGAGGAGATCATCTCAGATCGAGATAAGATCTTCACTAGTAGGTTCTGGAGAACTCTCCTGGAATAGTATCGCACCAAGTTGAAATTCAGCACAGCCTATCACCCACATACAGGTATTGGGCATTAAATCAAGTTTGATAGCACTAACACTTCTTGACAAACAGACAAACAAAAAGGGTGAATAGGCAGCTGGAGGATTATTTGCGATGTTATGTCTCAGGAGACCAGACTGATTGGGTAAGTCATTTGGGACTTGCGAAAATGTGCTATAACATCTCACCACACTCGAGTATTGGGGTGAGTTCATGGGAAGTCATCAATGGGTGAGATATTGAAAGTTCTGTGGAACTCGGCGTAGCCGAGTATCATGGAGAGTTACCTACAGTGGAGGCATTCATGACAGAAAGACTCAACATTCAGAATATAGTGAGGGATTCCTTGGAACGGACTCAATAAAGGCAAACCAAGTACGCGAACCAGAAACACTAGGATGTAGAGTTCCAAGCTAAGGAGAAGGTGTGGCTGAACACCAAGAACCTCAGGCTACCAAATGGGATCAGCTAAAAGTTGACCCAAAGGTAAAGATGCATATATTCATGTAAATGAATTGATCTTGAGTTCCTTAGGTAGGTTCGCGGGGCCTTATGAGATTGAGGCACAAATCAGTAAAGTGGCTTACCGTCTCCAACTTCCTCAAGAGATGGGGAAGATGCACCCAATGTTCCACGTGAACTTACTCAAACTGTACTTTGAGGATCCGCTTCGCAAGGACCAAGTGAGACCTTTACTTAAGGTTATCCAAGGGGAAGAGGAATACGAAGTCGAGGCCATCCTCAATGCGCGCAAGAGCAAGTGACAAGGATGCGAAGTGAGAGAGTTCCATGTGAAGTGGAAAGGATTTCCACACTGCGAAGTAACATGAGAACCGGAGAAGAACCTATTCAATGTGCGAGATCTAGTGGAGGAATTTTTGCAAGGCAGAACTCTATGTACTTATGCAAAGTTCAATTAAAAGCATCCATTTGTGAAGTTGAGCAATAGCATATGTTGGGACCCGAAGGCGCGCCAAAGGTAAACTAATTAGCATGGGTTAGCTAGGTCAACTAGACATAGGGAACTATGCCTAACCCTTTGCGGGGGATATTGAATCCGTAAATGTATTCTACGAAAGTTGGGTTTGAGTCCCAACCCCCTAGTAAAGCAAGGTTGTGTTCAAGTCCCAACCCCATAATAAGGCATGGTGAGGTGAGGGGTATAGGGACACTTATATTCCATTGTCATGGGCTCTTGGCCAGGGAGGCTAACTTAGGCACACCGCTAAGTGGGGGGATGTCCCCGAAGACATGGTCAACAAGTTGTAGGATTAAAAAGAGACGTTCGATATAGGCATTGAACTTCTTCTATGGGTGGTGGAATTGTAAGAAACCAACTCCCCGAGATGTCATAAGCTAAAGGATCCCCGAAAGCATGACCAAAATGACAAAGAGTTCATCGGATGAAATCGAGTCTGAGATCGAGTCCAAAACCAACTCTGAGACCGAGTTCGAGATAGAATTCGGAATCGAGTCTAAGGCCGACTCCGAGACCGAGTTCGAGACCGAGTATGAGACAGAGTCCGAGATCTGAGATCAGGTCCGAGACTGAGTCTGAGGTCAAGTCCGAAGTCGAGTCAGAGATCGGGTCCAAGATCGAGTCTGAGATCGAGTTCGAGACCGAGTCTGAAGTCGGGTCCAAGATTGAGTCCAAGATCAAGTCCGAGACCGAGTCCGAGACCGAGTCCGAGTACTAATACGGGTCAAGGGGTGAAAGCCCAAAGCGTGCATCTCCTAGGGGGGGGGGGCTGTAGGGGATTCCAAAAGTATAGTAGGGATAGTGAGGTTCAGAAATCAATCTTGAAGGAACTCTCCAATAGTGCTTCCAAACTGACTTGAGGTTAAGACTAGGACTGAGGGGCCTTGGGTGGGAGTGAGCATGGACTCGGGTGGTGCCGGAGGGGCCACCCAAAGAAGTGCTCAAGAGTAGCTCCCACTCCTGAAAGGAAAACCAACTGCAATGCTCCCGGCTCATGTGGAGTGGTGCCCCACTTGAGTACCTTGTGGCTCATTGGTCCTCGCCCTTCCTAGGGGCTTGGGCCTTCCTTTTGGGATAGAAGTGGGGGGCTAGAGGTACCCATACTGGGCCGTTAGGCCATAGTGTTTTCCCAGCATCCCGAAGCAAGTGTTGCACCCAAAGCTTGGGATTTAGAGGGTCCTATGATTAAGTCTTGTGGTACAAGGGATGTTAAGAACATAGAGGCTTAGTGTGCTTGGCTGCTTGTGCCTGCGAGGAGTGTAGCCGAACCTTAAGTTCAGTCTAACCCGAGAAGGGGGATTGAGAGAGATTTAGGAATCTGTGGATGGATGGTTAACGTTTCGTTACTTGTGCAGTGAGCAGCTAAAGCCAAATAGGACCAAGTAGGAGCTGGTACAATAGGCGGGAACCTTGGCGAAGGAACTTAGCTAAAGCCAAGGCGGTGTTGGTCGGATAGATGAGGTAAGCTGGCAAATTGGAATGGAAAAATTTGTGGCTTACAGATACATTTGTAATAAGTTATTAAATTGATTTCTAACATTAGTCCCATGATCATATTTAATAGTATTATCATTCACACTACATTGATCATAGTGTTTTCTAGATGTACTATATAGCCACATTTAATTAACAACATTTAATGGCCAATAATATCATCTTGTTATGTGAATGGAAATTCTATACTTTGTCCTCTAGGCAATTCTTCTGAAGATATATTATTAATCATTAATTCCATTGTATATAGGATTAAATTAACACTCTCTTGACTTATTGTATTTTTTCCCTCATAGTCAAGTATAGAATTAACTTTAAAACAAATGTAAAATATCAGAAAACTTATTAATTTTATAGTTTATTAATAAATAAGATGAACATCTAATATTCTGAAATTTATATTTAATCTATTTATAATACTACTTAGATTTTAAAATATTAATTTAAAATATATAATCATAGAGAGAAATATAAACTAATAATAGAATAATATTTTATTAAAAGTAATATTATAATTTTTTATTATCTCTTTTTTATTAGTTAATTATGTCTATTAGTTATGATTATTTATATTTTTTTCTTATAGAAAGAAGAAATTGCTAAATTTTGTAGGCCACCAAATCCAATGAATGGCAATTGCCAAATAGTGGGTAACTATTAAAATGGTTATTTTTTTCTAACCATATCCTATGTTGATTTTTGCTCTTTGCCAATGGGAGGTTGCTAATTGTTTGGGGTGAGAGAAGAAAGTGTCGTGACACATGTCACATGCAAATGTGTTGACAAATTTGTATTGGTCAAGCCAAGAAGGCATTATAACAAGTGCATATGCTCAATGATCTGGCAAAACATAAGTAGAGCATAAGACCAAAGGCTGTAATTAACTTTAGTTTAATCAACTACTTAAATTAGGAGCTCTTTGTGATGGCAGCAGTAGCCAATAGCTCTACCTTAGGGTCTCAAGACCATGTAAAATACAGTTATCAATCATTGCTAAACAATGTTTCTTTGCAACAGCAAGCTCAACAAGTTTTAGGTGATGTAGAGATGGGTGGAACTAAGTTTTGTTTTAACTTGATAAAGTAGAATGCAATCACTTTTCTTTCCAAGAACTGAGCATCTTACACAACTTAGTGCTTTAGGTACTTGGTCTATTCCAATACAGTACTTTACTAGGAATAGGTGTGTAAATAGACTTTAAACAGCCATTAAGTCCCTTTGCTAGTTTAGTAGGTATTGGTATTTGGCTTCTTTTCTTCTTAAATTCTTTTGTAGCCAAATCTAGACATTAAAACACATATTTCTAGCCAAGTGCCTTGTGGCATTATAGAAGGTATTCAATCTTATAATATGTTGTTTATGGGTTTGTAATTGCAAATTATATAGCATTCTAGACCCTGGCATATAGAATTTGATTGTCTCCTCTAAAGAAATATAATATGCATATGTGGATTTATAGTTTCATTCAAGTGGTGAGCCATAGCTTATATATATAATAACTTGGTTTAATATTTGTGATTTCCAACATGAGGTCCATTCAACAAGTATGGCATTGACATCAAAGTTCCTTAATATTAATTTCACTTATGCAAATGCTATTTATATATACAGCCACCTTTTCAAGCCATCTAATATTCAACACTATAGGGTTAAAGTTAAGAATCAGAAATATCATTTAAGACTCCATCCTCTCTTAATAGATATTTCCATGGCCACACATGTTAGAGTATGGCTAGAGAAGGCTCCTCTAGTGCTTGACTTTGTCAGACCATTAAACATTGTTCTATTGAGTCAATTTGTCTATAACAGTTACTGCAACAATCTCTAGTGTGTATCAAACACCTTAATACTTGCTATGCATAGATACTGATTGTCATAAATGGTGCTGGGACAGCTGCATGGATCTGGATGCTCCAGCAAGAGATCCCATAAGAGGCATCATAATATGTAGGGGGCAATTTATGCTGGCTAGTAAAAAAAATAAAAGGAAAAGTTTGACAAAGAAAGAACGATGAAGATATTTGAATTCCAACTAGGCCTTGAAACAAGAGTGAGTGATTAAAACTTCACCTTCTTGAGGCTGAAACCTTATTCCGAGAATATTCCATGGCCTGTGTCGTTTCATGCCCTAGCTATGGGTAGTTTCTTGGCATTTAAATTTGAGTGCTTAACTGGATAGGATTGAGTCGGACATTCTCCAAGTTGCCAATGCTCTGATATGGCGGCTTGAGTACTTGAGCCCCTCAATGGAAGAATGATCTACGACCAAGAGAATGTCACGAGTTTCATTATCACAAGAAAGAGACCTGTTTCTCTTGAGTCGTAAAACTGAAAGGAAAGAACCACTCGCAAGTATCTTGATAAACAGAACAGGAGGAGCTAAAAGATTGATTGTGTGAAACTTGCCTCTGGGGAAACGAAGGCTGGGAGTGTAGACAAGCTTGAGAAGATCCGCAGCTCCACTCATGACCGTGCCGATTGGAAGATGAGGCTCGGGCAAGCACTGGAAGTAGACGGCAGAGTTGTGCAGACTGACAAACCAGCACTGCATCGTCGGCTCCTCCGCAATGTTCTTGCCTTCGTACATGAGAGATCGGCCGTCCCACTTCTTGAGATCCCATGCATTGCTCTTTTGCACCGGGACGTGAAGGAAAAGCGCATGTCCGAAGCCCCACACCTCCATCATCCCGAACATAAGCTTGTTCGTCGGCAGGATCTCGCTCGGCACCTGGAGCTCCGCTGCAATCACCAGCTTCTCCTGCTCGATCACAGCCTTGAATAACTTGCCCGTGTCTTTGTCAGCTACGACTATCATCGTTTCGCTGCTGCTGTCAATCATGAAGCTCATAAGCATCAAGTCCTCTGGGATGTCCACCGGAGTCGGAAGCCACTCCATTTTGGGGATGTCAAAGCGAGCAATCTTCTCGGGACGGTTGTTGACGTTGTTGGAGGTGCAGTAGAGCAGCGAGTTTGCGATGAAACACTGGTGCACCTTGCATAGAGCGCGGAAAGGGAGCACAAATCCTGGAGGAAACCCGGTGATGGACGTCCAGGAACCAGTCTCGGAGCAGTAGACGCGCATGAAGGGCTGCTTGTAGTCATGAATGTCCGGCACTGGGATCGGGCGGTCTACCGGCTGGACGACGCTCATTTTGTAGAGAAATCCACTGATCTCGTCCGCGTCCATCACACCCATGGTGAAAACCTTGTATGAAGAGGCCGAACGCGAGCACTGGATGGCTGATGGTAAAAAAGGTGTAGCTTTGTTCTTTTCTTTTCAATCAGCTCGAGCTACTTACCGGAGTAGACGATCTCTTTGCCAGAGCTCATATCCAACGCCGGGAGCTTCTTGGTCTCCTTGGTGAGAGGATTCACCTAGAAAAAGAAAGAAAAAGACTCGTGAGTCTTGTCTAGAGCGATTGTTAAAAAGAAAAAAAAAAGAGAGCTGTCTCTTCGGAAGTGATATCGAGAGAAAAAAGGGGATTTCTTTCCTACCACGGTGAAATGGCCCTGGGAGTCCTGGAGCAGCAGGAGGCCGAGCGAGCACGAGACGATGCTAGTGTCCTGCGCCGTAGGGATCCACGGCTGGCGAGAGAAGCGCCTTGGCTTGCCGGTCATCGCATCATTTCCAATCACGAAGCCCGTGCGGCCATGAATGAAGAGAAACCATGGCTTGGCGCTGATGACCATCTCATACCTCCGCAAGAAGCTCTTTGTCGTGGAAATGCGGCGCCAGAACTTGCAAACCGTGCGCGATCGCAGGAGATCTTCGAGCGGGAGCTTGGCGAGGATCATCTCCTGGAGCGATCGCGGCAGAGGAAGCGGCAGTGGAGACTCCATGGCTCCTTGAATCGCCACGAAAAACCTCTGATAAACCCTAGAAGGCTTTCACTTCATTTCGTGAGCTCGAAGTTTAGAATATTCGGCGATTGCTCGACTCAATCTCGCCTTTGAGCTGCTTAATTCTCGGCTTGTATCCACACTTGCCCCTGTGATCGCTCAATCACAATGGAAAGAGAGAGAAACCGACCTGATACATTTGCAGCTCGGATGCCATTGCTTTCATTTGCCTCGTCTTCTCCTTGAGACTTTTCGAGTAGACCGCCAATTGTTATACCATCTCTGGTCTTGCCAAGATGTTTCGAAGCTCCACGTACAGCTTTTCGTTCTCTTGAATAAGCAAATCCTTCCCAACGATGAAATATACGCTTATAGTCTTTAAATACAATCTTTATATTCTTTCACTTTTAGCGATCCATGCTACTGCATCTCATAGTTACCATACCAATAGCATTGAGCCATAGGCTTTGTATATTGATTCGTTACAACTGTGGTGGAGAGTCAGACATTCAGCCTTTGGCATCATCTGAAGATCCTTGATTACTGCTGGTGGTGATGAACCCTCACATAACTCTTAAAGACTGGAAAGTGAAGCACTTCGTCTATTTGTTACTATCTTTTCTTTATAAGAATCAATTTTTAAAATCTCAAATTTTGTCAAAAAAATAAAATACTATTCTGCATGTGTTTATTTTTTCCCCATGTTCAATTATAGAATATTTCATTTCATAGAAAGGTATGGCATCCTTAAAAAATTAAAAATTAAAGGTTAACTTAAAATAGTGTTTAAATTGTTTGAAGTTAGTTAATAATTATATGCTAATAAATAAAAGAATAAAGAAACATGCTAATTATAATGTAGTTATCAAGAAATTTTTGAAAATTTAAAAGTATTTTAACTTTTAAGCTTTTGCTCACAAAAACTGTGTGACCAGTTTAAAATTTAAAATTTAAAATTAAAGGTTAACTTAAAATAGTGTTTAAATTGTTTGAAGTTAGTTAATAATTATATGCTAATAAACAAAAGAATAAAGAAACATGCTAATTATAATGTAGTTATCAAGCAATTTTTGCAAATTTAAAAGTATTTTAACCTTTAAGTTTTTGCTCACAAAAACTGTGAGGGCCAAGTGTACAGTTACGATGCAGTATACTAATATTAGCATAGTGGGATTTTGGTAGCCGTCAGATTGGTTTTAATCTGGACCACTCACTCTTGTATATAAGCTAGGGTTTTTAGGCTAATTAATATGCACATTTCTATATTCCCTTTTCATATTCCAAGCACTCACATTGGTGGAGGTGAGGGGCACCTTTGATTGTCCTTAAGGAGTGCTTGGATTTGGGATTTTGGTTTAGATCTAGCTTTTGCATTGTCTAGATCTAGCTTTTTCCATTTCCTTCTTTTTGTTCTTTCCTTTCAAGATTTTGGTTTAGATCTAGCTTTTTGCATTGTCTAGATTTACCATTTCCTTCTAGCTTTTTGTCATTTCTCTTCTTTTGCTCTTTCTTTTTCATTCGTCTCCATGGCAGATCAGCAATCTCTTCCTTTGACTCTCGAGCAACAGTTGGTCCAATTGCTTGATGCTATGCACTTGCAGTTGAACAACCAAACTCAATTGATAGCGGCATTCACAACACGTAGTCCAACTCCTCCTGCTCTTGGTGCCAATCCTCGTGTTCGGCCGGAGTTCTTTCGGGGGAATCCTGGGGATGATGTGTACCATTGGTTTGATCACTTCATGGTGATTGCCACATATCATTCTTGGGATGATGCTCGACGGTTGCATGAGTTTCCCACGTGTCTCCAAGGGACGGCGTTACAGTGGTACAATGGTTTGAGCGCAGCCACTTGTGGGGATTGGAGTGTTCTCCCGGACGTCTTCAAACGCGCCTTCAGACATGCCGATGATTGTGATGATGCTTTCCAACAATTGCATTGGCTTCGCCAAGGGCCATCTGAGTCGGTGATGCAATTTGGCGTTCGTTTCTGAAGTCTTTTACTTCGTGCGGAGCCAAATATGTCGGAGCGGATCAAGCTAGGAATGTTGTGGCCAGCACTTCGTCAAGATCTTGTCGGACTTGTGCATGCACTTGCTCCTGCCACCCTTGACGATGCTCTTCGCTTGGCACAACGTTATGAGATATCGCCTCTTCCACTTCTCGCTGCACATCCTTCTGCTCCACTTCCCATGGGTGATGGTCCTGTTCCAATGGAGGTTGATGCTGTTGCTGCTCGAGTCCAAGGACAAGCGCGAGGACGTGGTCGTGGCCGTGATGTTCGCTGCTGGGCATGTGATGAAGTTGGTCATACTTATCAGTGTTGCTGTCATTTTCCAGATTGGTGACCTCTATTTCCTGGGTGGAGACTTTGGCGTCAGCAACGTCCCATGGGTGCTGGAAGGTCTGGACACCGAGATGCATCCGGGAAACGAGGAGTCGCGCGAGTAACGGAGGGACCTTGCGCGAATAAGTTAGTGACCCCTCCATCTTTCTTTCGGGAGTATCATCAAGGGGTTCACTCGGCACCGGTTCATCCAGTGTTTACTTTCCAAGCTTGTTTTTATAACAAGATGTCTCCTATTATTCTCTCCGTGTTGGTTGATATAGGTTCGAGTTTATCTTCTATTGCTCGACCTGTTGCCACACGTTGTTGTTTACACTTGCGTCATGCGGCGGAACCAGTTTTCATTCTTTATGGCAACGGCCGTACACATGCATGTGCACGGGATGAGGTGAACCTGGTTGTGCATGTGGGCGATCTCGAGCTTGAGTTGCAGCCGTTGCGGGTGGTGCCGAGTCAAGCTTTTAACCTCATTCTTGGTATGGATTGGTTGCAGCGCAATCATGCCAAGTGTGACTTTGAGGCTTCTCCCCCTTGTCTCATACTTCCTTATGTTTCATCCATTCCTCTCACTTCCATACCTCTTCGTCCTTCTGATTTCGATGTTGTTCATCACCTAGGGAGTTTTATGACTGATGCTGATGCCCTTTCTCAAGCTCCTCTTCCTTCTCCACTCACTTCTCATGTTTCTGACTAACCTGTTGTTCCAGCATCTGTGGATTTTCTAGATGAGGATTCTGTGCCGTCAGCAGTTGCTATCCTTGACATTCAGTGTCCACAAGGTGCAGAGCAAGATCTACCTTCTCTTGATGAGGTTCGCGAGGCTCAAAAGATTGAGCCGTGGATTCGGAGGCTTCGAGATGGGTTTGAGAATCCTGCATCACTTGCTGATGACTTGCCTTTCCGGCATTTACATTCTCAATATCGCCTTGACGATGGCCTTCTTTATTTTGTGGGGACAGATCCTGATGATCATTTACGGCTGGTGGTGCCTTCGATGTTTATTCCGCGGTTTCTCCATGCCTACCATGATTCTCATGTTCTAGGTGGGCATATGGGACACTGTCGTGTCATCGAGAAACTGCGCAGGTCTTTCTATTGGCCGGAGATGCGACATGATATTATCCGGTATGTGCGTAACTGCGTTTGGTGCCAAGCTTGTAATACTCCCCCTCGTGCTGCGGAAGGACAGTTGGAGTCAATTGCAGTTTCCCGTCCGTTTGAGTTAGTGGCGTTTGATCTTATGGGACCTTTTCCATGGTCGACTGTTAGCAATGAGTATGTTATTATTGCTTCTGACTACTTGACTCATTGGGTGGAAGTTGGTGCTCTTGCTAGCGCCTCTGCAACTGCTGTTGGATACTTCCTCCTCAATCGAGTGGTGTTCCAGCATTCTTGTCCAGAGTGGATTCTTTCGGATAATGATCCCGCATTTATGGCTGAGGCATTTCATGTTTTGACGTCTCGGTTGGGGATATGCCACACTTTCACGAGTGCTTATCATCCACAATCAGACGGTCTGGTGGAACGGCTTGTTCGGACATTCAAAGGGATGATTGCGAAGTATGTGAACTTTCAGCATTCGGATTGGGATGGTTATTTTCCGTCTCTTCGGTATGCATATGTTACAGGGGTGCAGAGTTCTGTTGGTGCTTCACCATATAAACTCCTATATGGTCATGATCCAATATTACCAACGGAGCTGGGTTTACCTTCGCGATTGCCACGTGCTGTTGATGCTAGATCATAGGATCAGTATTTGACGAGCATTCTTCCACTTGTCTGAGCAAATTCTGCCGAACACTTAGGCTGCGTACAAGTAGGACAACAACGGCGCTACAACTCCCATCATCGTCTACCTGCGGAGTACAAAGTGGATGATTTGGTGTTAGTCCGTTTTCCCCATCTTATGGTACGTGGTTTATCTAAGGGGCTTCTTGCGCAATGGAAAGGACCATATCGAGTGTTGCGACAAATTGGACCACAAGTTTATGAGGTTCGGCATGACGTTCAGCAGGTCGATCCTCCAGAGACTGTGCATGTGCAGCGGCTAAAATGCTTCATACAAAGGGATCAGAAGGAGTTAATACCACCTACAGATCCACCGATGCCTCCTCCTGACGTTCCTCCGGATCCCGGTCCATCTTCAAGAGAACCCTGATGGTCTTCCATTATCCCGAGAGGAGGGGATGATGTGAAGGCCAAGTGTACGGTTACGATGCCATATATTAATATTAGCGTAGTGGGATTTTGGTAGCCGTCAGATTGGTTTCAATCTGGACCACTCGCTCTTGTATATAAGCTAAGGTTTTTGGGCTAATTAATATGCACATTTCTGTATTCCCTTTCCATATTCCAAGCATTCACAGTTTGAAGTTAGTTAATAATTATATGCTAATAAATAAAAGAATAAAGAAACATGCTAATTATAATGTAGTTATCAAGCAATTTTTACAAATTTAAAAGTATTTTAACCTTTAAGCTTTTGCTCACAAAACCTGTGTGACCAGTTTAACCATTTGGACCTTGATCATGTTTTGAATGGTAAAAAGATCAAAGTAAACAAGAGAAGACCACAACATTTGCAAAATAACAATGTGAGGAACTTAGATTAAATAGCTTAAATTAACTAGGACAATAACTATATTCAAGTTAAGC